CTTCACTCAAGAGTCTCAGAACAGCTTACAAACTCCTTTCCCTTTCCCTCCCCACAACAGACACCCTGTGAGGTAGGTGGGGCTGAGAGAACTCTTTCCAGAACTGTCCTTGAGCGAACAGCTCTGACAGAACTACGGCTTGCCCAAGGTCATCCAGCAGCTGTAAATGGAGGAGTGGGGAATCAAACCCGGTTCTCCCAGATTACAGTCCACACACTTCACCACCACACCAAATTGGCTCTCTTTAGTCAGTAGAGGTTGCTGCTGTTTGCGTACAAGTAGAGCAACGCATCATACCAGACGTCTTTTAGTACGCCAGACAAGAACACAAAGCGCTCAGGCATTCACGCCTCCCAAGGATGCCCTATTTAACCCAAAGCCTGCAATCTATTCTAGGCAACTATATATACGCCGGAAGAGAGAAGCGGAAGGCTGGGCGGGACTCCTCTCGCCCCAGTGGTCACAGAGGCAGCTGGTGGTGATGCGTCCCTACATTGCCTTTTGACTCCGTGGTGTTTAATGAGCAGACCTGTTTTTTTTTGAGGGGAGAGGTGATTGTGAAGGTACCTCCCAAAAGTGAGCAAGCTGTGGGAGGGGCCTGTGGCTCAGAGGCAGAGGCTCCGCTTGGCACGCAGCAGGCCCCAGGCATCTCCCGTTGAGTAGACAGTACGGATTTTGACGGACCAAGGATCTGATTCAGTATAAGGCGGCTTCATGTATTCAAGCATCCCCCCTCCCCCCCCCGATGCTCTTTAATCACAGCAAATTATATTTAGTCTTGAATTAAAACATAGCTCCCCCAACTCTTCGCTTCTTTGACGTACAAGAGCAGTTTAACTTGGGACGCTGTGCAGTGAAGTCAAGTGAACATTTGCCGAAGCCACCACGCAAGCTGCCTTAGAACAGAATCAGATCGATTTTTATAGTGACCGGCAGCCGTTCCTCCTTTTCAGACAAGGGGTGTGCCAAACCCTGCAACTCAACCGAAGACAGCAGCTGCTGAACCCAGGCACATGTAGCTGCAGCGCCCTCTCTGATGGACCCTTAAGAAAAATGCCTTGCCTGTCAATGTCATACTGAAGAAAAACTGGCAGAGCACCTGGCTGGGCACGCAGAAGCTCTCGGGCTCAATCCCCAACACCTTCCATCAAAAGAAGCAGGTAGCTGATGAGAAAGACCCTGGAACTGCCAGGCAGAGTAAAAAACCCACCAACCTTAATAGACCAATGGTCTCACTCGGCACAAGGCAGTTTCCCAGGTTGCAAAAGCAAAAGTTTAAAAGCCAAAAAGCCTTCGCTAAGCCCAGAAGTGTGTCCTTCGGCATCTTAAGATGACCGATAGCCTTTGCTTTGCGTACCTGTTTCATCTATTGAAAATGGACATGTTGCATGACTTCCTTTGCAGGCCAGTCGTAAACCTGTTAACTAGGCAGAAACCCTAGTTGCGGGCATCTTGCGTACAAGCTCAAAACTTGCGGACAGAAACTGGATTGTGCGTCTCAGGTGGGACACGATCCGGAACACTGCATTACCCTCAGTGGGGTGTGCATTTACGGTGGCTCGAGTGGTTAAGATGCTGAACTGCAGGCTGTGGAAGGTCAGTTGTTCAGCAGTTCGAGACCCGAGTGTGCCGCATGACAGAGTGAGCTCCCGTCTCTAGTTCCAGCTACTGCCAACCTAGCAGTTCAAAAGCAAGAAATTGCAAGTAGATAAATAGGTACCCCTTCGGTGGGAAGGTACCAGCGTTCCGTGCGCCTTGGTGTTTAGTCAGGCCGGCCACATGACCATGGAAACGTCTTCGGACAGCGCTGGCTCTTCGGCTTTGAAATGGAGATGAGCACCGCAACCCTAGAGTCGGACTCGACTGGCTTTCGAGCAAGGGAACCTTTATCTTTACCTATAACAACAGGGCCAGAGGTCCTTTGGCCTGTTGGTGTGGAAGTTTGTGTGCAATGCAAATCAGACATACCGTCCTTAACCAAGAAGAGACTTTAAGCCAATTAAAAGTCAAAAGTTTTATTCAATAAATATAATTCTCCATAAATGTTTGTAGACACCTTTTATTGACAGAGTGATACAACAAGCACGCTGTATTAAACTTCCACAGAAGACTTCTAAAAAGGACGTCTGAGGTTGTGGCCACAGTGCCTGCGGTCAAAGAGTTCTTGGTATCGATTATTGCTAAGGTTTCCACTTGGCAATGCTCCTACAACGCTTAACTTGCAAAGTTCAGGATTCGAACAGCTCACACGAGCTGCGTGGAGCGCCTCCTGCGACCGGGTCATTCGGAGGCCTTTTCGAAAGGTGACCACGGCACCCACGGCTCCGCTTGGCTCCAGAGCAGAGGATCTCAACGTCGGCTCGTGGTTTCTTTACGCCAATAAGGGCAGAAATAGTCAAAAGCCATGTCAATTAAGCACATTTTATGAAGTACACTCTTTGGCGCCGTATGGACAATGTCTCCTGTATATCTGAAGAAATCCTCATTTGAAAGATTAAAAAAAGCTTTCCTGGCTGCTTGAGGAAAAGAGGGTGGATATCTTTTATTTCACTGAACGAGGCCCTCTCTAAGGTGGAGATTCCTTTTGAAAATGGTGGCTGTAAACTGTGCATAGTAGAACGGAGACTGCGCATCTCTGAGAGCAGAGAATGAGTTGGGTTTCACAAGCCTGTCCCACTGATTTCAGTAGTATACCTAGGTGGGACTCCCGTTCTTGAGATCAGGGCTACGAGGAATGTCAAAAGCATTCACATTTTACGTTCTTGGCCACCGCCATGCACCCCTGTGTGCTTTTTCCCAACCAGAGATAGCTTTCTGCTCCGTTATCTGGAATTTCAGTGCACTTACAACACAGGCGGTCAGAATAAGAGAAACAATAGGGGGGGGGGAAATACGATAAACCCACAGTGCTGGTAACACTCCAGCTGCTGCTGATGTTACGCCAAGCAAATCTTGAGGAGCTTCTCCATCCACTTGAGTGGCGAGGGCTGGGTATGACCCTCCTGGCCCGTCACCATTAAGATACAAGGGAAGCCCATTGCCACAGGAACTGGGGACTGAAATGTGAACGTTCGCTCTCCCCTCTTGAAGCAAGGTCTCTGTGAGAGGCGGCTGCGTGAACATGACCTCGCCTGCTATGGGATACTGAGCAAGCAGCTCTATCCTAACTCCCGTTTTCCATCAGGAAACTGTGCACGTGTTTAACAATAAGGGCAATGGCTAAAGCCAATCAGGCCGAGCAGTTGTCTAAACAACACTCCATGTGGAACTGCCCCCCACCCCCAATGTCTCTAGGGATGCGGCTGTCTGCGGGAAGTGGTGTCAGATTTGATGTGTCCCCGGCTACAGTTTGCACTCCACAGGGCAACTGCGTCCTGGGTCAGGCCAGGCTGCCGTGCCACTGCACTCCAGAGGAGGGTCAGATCCCTACATGTGGCGTGGCTGGTAAGATCTGAACAGGTTCTCGGTCCTACTGCAAACAACGAGATCTTTTACAGGGGATTTTAAGAAGAAGAAGAGATTGGATTTATATCCCGCCCTTCACTACCCAGAGAAGTCTCAGAGCAGCTTCCAAATTCCTCTCCCTTCCCCTCCCCACAACAGACACCCTGCGAGGTAAAAGAAGAAGAAGAAGAGATTGGATTTATACCCCGCCCTTCACTACTCAAGGGAGTCTCAGAGCAGCTTACAAACTCCTCTCCTTTCCCCTCCCCACAACAGACACCCTGTGAGGTAGGTGGGGCTGAGAGAGCTCTGACAGAAACTGCACTTTTTTCAAGAACAGCTCTTATCAGAACTACGGCTTGCCCAAGGTCATCCAGCCAGGTGCATGTGGAGGAGTGGGGAATCAGACCTGGTTCTCCCAGATCAGAGTCCGCACACTTAACCACTACACCAAACTGGCTCACCGTTTCCCTCCTAATGGGGCTTAGTATATCAAACCTTGTGCCTTAAGCACTCTCTACGAGCAACCAGCTTCTGCTGGCAGAGGAGGAGGAGGAGGAAGAAGGCCCCTCTCCTTCCACCTCGTGCCACCTACGCCAAGGTAGATCCCTTGTATAACTTGTATTCCAGTTACAGAGTCGGCTGAGCGCAACATTCAGAGCAGCAGCAGGAAGCCCCAGCTTGTTAGTGATAGCAAGACAACAGCAGTCGCAGCAGTCGCAAAAGCCAGAACCCACATGGGATCTTTGAAGCAGCTGGCCCAACGTAAGCAGGGGGCTGCCATCCTGTTTTACTGCTGGATGGACAGAAGAGCCAATTTTACTGCCCAGGGGGGGAAAAAACACCCTACATCCAGCTATTCAGAGACACTAAAGCCACCCGGAGAACAATCCACAGCGGGCCGCTTTAGGTGGAGAAGATGGAGCTATTCCTCACATTACGTTCTGGAGAGGGGAGGAGTTCCTGAGTCGCTTCGCCTCCCTGCCACCTGATCGAGCGGTTGTGCAATCTGAGCCGCACAAGGAGAGTCAGTGCCTGTGGGGGTGAGAGTCTCAGCCTAGAAGTTGGGACATCTAGGTACGCTTTGGATGACCTCGGGTCAGCCACTTTCCGTGTAACTGACCAAGCAGGGCTGTTGTGGGGATACAGTGAGGAGTTGCTAACGACCCACACCGTGCTGAGCTCCTTGGGAGAAAGGAGGGCTAGAACCATGCTCTTTCTCAAGGGGATGCACGGCTTAGAGGGACGCACGGGCTCTTCCCACTGGCTTCAATTTCAGCTCCTTGTGGCACATGGCCCAGCAGTGGTCCTCCACACTGATGCAAAGGATGCTCTGGCGGTGCACCATATGCACATGATGTTCCCCGAAAGCTTTGGCCTGGGAATCCTACAGACACTGAGGGCTGTACCGCTAGACAGAACTAGGCATGTTGCCCAAACTCCCAATCAGTGAAAAATCTCCTAGGGGGCTGCCCTAGAGTGACTT